ATTGATTTTGGGGGGTTGATTTCGGGTCTGTTGCTGGGAGATTGGTTGTGGTTTTTTTGGGGAGTTTCGGCTGAGCTTCGAGAGCAATAGAAGGGGTTTTTCTGGTTGATTTTCGGAGCTGGAAGGGGATTTCTTCTGGTATTGAGTGTGGCCGGTTCTGATTTTGGAGTTGATTTTGGAGTTTGATTTGGGAGTCATTGTTCTGGGTTTCGGGAGAAAGGAGAAAGAAGAAAACCGAGCTGATTCCGGCTAGATTCCGGCAGTATTTCAGCCTCCTTTTGCTAGGTATTTTCCTGCAACAGAGGAGTCTTTTTGGGGAGGCAGTGAGGAGAATGATCTGGGCTTGATCTCGTGGGTGGGATCCGCCAGATCGGACTCCGATCTGTTACCCAGAATGCTCCGCCGTGTTTGCTTCTTTTGTCTTTCTGTTTCCGTGACATGCTTTTGTGATGTTTACGTTTGTATATGTTTATTGAAAATCAATGAAAGATTAAAAAAAATGTTCAGTTTGTTTTGTGTGATGGTTGTGTTTGTATGAATGTTTTATGTTATTTTATTTTTATCTGGAATGAATGTGTTCTTTAAAAAACAAAAAAAGCAGAAAGGAGGTGAACTAGACTTTTTCTGTATGTTGTTTGATCTGTTTTGTTCCTTTTGGGTTAACGGATCGTGTTTTATGGGTCGGGTTGACCCGATTCCATCTAACAAGGAAAAATTTTAAAAAAGAAGTAAAAATATATTAATTAATCAAGATAATTTACTTAATTTTATGATTAATAAAATTAATTAATTTTAATTAAAATAAATTACTTATGTTTATTAATTTTAATTTAAGATAATTATATTACTTAATTATCTTGATCAAAGATTAATAATGTAATTAATTAATTTTAATTAATTTTAATTAATGTTAAATTAATCATTTAATAAGTTAATCATCATAATTAATTAATTTAAATCCTAAATTTTCTGTTTTGTGTAAAAGTCAAAATTATCTTTGTTTATTCCAAATTTTACCCAGAGCTTTTGTAATTAAGCAATTCAGTCCATGGGTTTCAACTCTTTTCAAATTAGTCCTTTATGTTTTGAATTTAATCAAGTTAGTCCCTTAACTTCTTGTTTATGTTATTGTGCGTGCTTGTCTGTCCATTTTAATCCAAAAGTTTAAAAGTTGTCACAATTCGGTCCATGTATTTTTCAAACTTGCTTATTAAGACTCAAACATAAACATAATAAATAAGTTGAATCAAACCCCAATTTTAAAGTATGCAACCGTATTTAAACGGAGGATTGTGAGATGCGCGTATGCCCTTCTTCATTCCTAACCGAACTCTTGAACCTCAATCTCTATGCAGACTTGTACCCGTTTTAGGTGACTTGTTATACTTTATAATTTGGACAAGTGGAAATTTTTTTTTTTTTCTTATATATTTCACACTTGATTTTTCAATTTATTTTGAAAAAATCTTAAGTGGTCGTCAACAGGCATACAGGCATTTTTAGGTACCTTCTTCCAACCCTTTAGCTTTACGTACATTGGCATTTTCTTTGATGCTCTGTAAGTTCCTGCCAAGATCCAGGTTTTCCAGTATGTGAGTTTTCTGCATCTACATTAGTACATTTGAACTTTAAACCAAGCTCTGTAAGAGAATTACTGTCTTTTCCCATCCTATTATGATGTTTTTAAATGCAAGGCTGGTAAAAACCATTTCTATTTATCAATTGAGTTAAGTAGCTAGATTTGTAAACAATTATGAAGAAAAATAAAATAAAATAACGTTATTTTATTAAATTCTAATTAAAAGACCTAAAATAATTTATTTCTAAAGTAGGACAATGAAATGTAGTTTTACAACTTGATTTTTTAGAGATGTACATAATAAATACTAATCCTTTATAAGGTTCCTAATAAATTTATTCTTATTTTTAAGCATTAATTTAAAAAAAAAATTATATAATAAGATGCAGCGTAACATTTTTTTACCACAAGATAACTATGGATTCTTTCTATCTTAATAGTGGTTGATTTTATGAAGTAAGGTTGGTGGCATGCCATTTTTCTGATTGGAGTTTTGCACCGAATGCCTAATGGATGTGCCCCTCTTTACTTCAATATTGCTTCTTCTCTTTTTTTATTTTATTTTATTTTATTTTATTTTATTTTATTTTATTTTGATTGCATAATAAGAAGTAATAATCTTTTATCTCTTATCTCACTTGACTCACATGTCATACGATTCAAACTTACGATCTCTTGTTTCCAACAAATTGAGATAATCATTAAATTATTTAAATCGTTGGTTAATATTACTTTTCTTAAGTTATTTTTCACATGATTGCAATCGATAAGTTCCCTTGGATTGTAAAATTGATCTTTGATACTGACGATGGTATGGTTTTCCCTTTATGAGTGCCTCAATGCTGCGAGTTGAATTTCCAACATTC